TTTTTTTTTTTTTTTTTTGACGGGCTACTTTTATACACAAAAAAATCAAAGAAATACTTCACTGAAACAGATTATTGTTATTAAATACTTACTGAATACTTGTTAGTGAAATACTTCACTGAAAAGATTCACTGAAACAACTTTAATATGATAACAATGATCATAATAATATGTCAGTGCACATCTCAAAATCCTTGTGTTTAACGCTTCAGTAGATTACCAGTTCATCTGCATCCATTACCCAGGTCTCTGGGACGCCATGAGGCCACCTGCATGGGTGAAAAACATGCGAATGCCTGCTGTCGAGTGGAGGTGGGGTATGAGAGAAGTGTGCAGCACAGGCTCTGCCCCTCCACATTTCCAGTCGTGAGTTGTGGGTTTCCGGCCTCCATCTTGCTCCAAGTAAGTGGGTAAGATATGAAGGGTTTGAGTTGCTACAGTAGGGTCATCTTAATTTGTAAGAGGCTTTATGGGGGATTGTAAGTAGGGGTTGTACGTAAGTCATATGTACATAACCCAAGGCCTTTTCTTTTCATGCTCAGGTTTTCCCAGTTTAGGTTATCGGTGTGTGTGTGTGTGTGTGTGTGTGTGTGTGTGTAAGGGACGTCCAAGTGCGCATCTGTATTTTGTTGACACGGCTCTGTTACAGTTTGTACATTACTTCTTGCCTGTGTTCAAACCTCATCTTGTTCTTCAGCCTGAGCCCTAGAATCCCATTCTTATCCAGGAAACCTGGGCTCTTTCATTAGACAATTGATACTTAGAAACAAGTGTTTGAGTATTGAATGTGCTGATTGTTACTGGGCCACTGAAATGGAAAGGGCTGGGAAACACATGTGAGTCTACACATACAAGGACATATTTTATTTAAAAAACCACAAGATCTTAACCATATATTTGCTTCCAGTCCAACAGCAGTCTTCACTGTAATCTTTTACCTTATTCTATGTTACTCCTTTCTTTACTACTACTACTATTGGCTGTCATTATTCACAACATGTTACTTCCCAAATGATAGAATTTACCAAGGCTTCAACCCGGTTCTCCTTAGGTTGTGCCCAAGAAAGTGTCTCCACAACAGACCCGAATTTTAAATCTTTGAGTGATTTGCCTCAGTACAGGTCAAAGTCTAACTAGAAACTTAAATCCTTTTTTTTTGTTTCCTTTTTTTTTTTTTAATTGTGTTTTGGGTGAAAGTATTCAGAGTAAATTCATTTTCCATACAGTAGTTCATACACATTCAGTTTCAGGACATTGACTGCAGTTCCCCACAGTGTGACAGCTTTCATCCCACTTCCTCGCTGTGCTTTCTTTTCCCTGGGTCCTTCTTTCCTGTGCATTCCTTTGCCTCCCCAGCTATAACCCTGTGAAAATCCTGCCCTTCTGTTTTCCCATGATTGATTGTTCTAAGGAGTGTAGTTAGTGAAGTAAATGTTCACACCCTACGCTTGTCTATTTGCAGTCACTGAAGTTAGTAAATTCAATTCCAGACCTGAAGGGTAACTAGGGGCCATAGTCTCAGTGGTCTCACCAGGCTCTATCAGATCAGCAAACCTGGACTTTTTTTTTATTTTTTTTTATGATTTTGAGTTTTGTTCCACATTGTTCTCACACTCTATCCATAATCTGCACTGATCCTTTTATGAGAGGTTGACAGTGGTAGCCAAGCACCATCTAGTTATTCTCAGCTCATCGTCATATAGGCTGATTTATGCATGGTCCACTAGATGACATATTTTGCTGATCATTGGTTCACATATGATGTTTCAATTCTCATCCTTGGGTTCATTGCTGTGGTCACAGTGTGTTCTGAATGTCTTTCAGTTTAGAAGAATCATCTCCCAGCACTATATTAGACAATGTTTTCTTGTGATCCATGCTTTTAATGTGGTGGAAATATACATAACAAAAATATGCCATCTCAATGATTGCTATAGGTACAATTCAGTAACAATGATTCCATTCAAGTTGGGCAGTCATTCCCACTACCCTTTTCCATATTTTTCCACCACCATGAACATCAAGTCAATAAGTCCTAAGGAAAAGTCCCCGTTCCCCCTCCATCCCATCTCTGGTAACCACTCATGGTCTTTGCTTTCTTTATATATGCTTATTTGTATTTTATGGAATGAATGATTAGGCCCAGAAAATACACATATGAGGACATATTTTATTTCATTGTAAGTCCTATCTTCTACGCTTGTTGTTCAGACTTCAGTCTTCCATATGGATTATACCTCAATGTAAAACAGAAATCCTCACAACTAGACAAATACACAACATTATGATAAATGGAGAAAAGGTTGAAGTTCTCAGTGATTTCTTTCGTCTTGGATCCATAATGAACACCTATGGAAGCAGCAATAAATAAATACACTCCTTGGAAAGATCCATCCTAGGAGAACCCAAGGGCAGTGTTTGCACAGTGAGATGGCTGGGGGGAGGGGGGACAGGAGTGCACAGGAGGAAAGGACTCAGGCCAGAGGTAACTAAGGGAAGTGGGAAGAGAGCTATTACAGTGTACGGAAGGGCAGTCAATATCTCGGGAAAAATATATATTAATTGCTATACAGCAAATGAATTTGCTCTATAAACTTTCACCAAAATCTCAATAAAACTTTAAAATAATTTAAAAAAAAAAAAGCAATGGAAAGGTTCTAAATGCCGCCTCCCCGCGTTATGCCCTTTGCAATCTAGCTGACCTCCCTTCCTGGGCGGGGTTGGGGGGTGGGTGCGAGAAACCGGAAGCGGAAGTGTGCGTGTTCCTTAAGTAGACCACCAGCCACGTGGGGTCACGCTCCTGTTGCCGAGAGAGAGATGTTCTTTCTCTAAACCCTCATCCTCAGTCCCCACAGGCTCCGGTGCTGGGCCCAAGGCGCTGTCCCCGTTCTCCCACGCAGTCTTGTTCTGGCTCCTTGAGCCTCGGGACCTCCTGTGGCCGGGGCGCCACCACCGCTTCCCCCGTTATCCCGGCTCGGCAGTTGCAGCCGCTTCCTGGACACCGAGCAGCGGGGACTGACCAGCGTCTCTCGGTGTGGGAACACGTAACATCGCAGGACCCCTCGCTGAGCAAACAAGATTCTCGGCCCACAGCGACTGTGTCACCGGAAGTTGGTGAGAAATGCGGCGTCCAGTTGTGTGGACCCCGGGGGTGGTTAGTCTGAGCCTGACAGCCCCGGTCCCGTTTTCTTTCCTTTTTCCGGCGCAGCCCCGGCCAGACCCACCCGCGCGCACACTGCGGTCACGCTGGGCGCCTCCCTCACCCCGGCCTGGGGGTCTGTTTCCCGTTTACGGAGCGATGGTACCTGCGCCGGGCCCCGCGCTCAGGACTCAACGGGCTGCGTGTCCCGCTCAGCAGAGGGCGCTGGGAGGGCGGGGTGTGCGCGCGATTTGCCGGTGAGTCGCGGTCCCGGAGTCTGGGAGGAAGTCAGTCCTCGTCCGCGGACGGCGGAGACCTAGTAAGGGGCGGGCTGTGAGCCCGGGTCCGCTCTGTTCTCAGTTGGGGGGGCGGTTCCTGAGCGCGATTTTCGGCCTGAAACGGCTCCTCTTTGTTTTCGGTGCCTCGTGGGGCAGGACTTGTGCTGAGTGTTGCTGCTTTTGAGGGAATTCCCAGGGGAGGCTGAGACGCCCTCTTGAGGAGGAGTGAGGAGACCCAGAACCTTCCCCGGAGGCGGGCTCTCAGGCGTGAGAAGTTGATGACAGGGAAAGGGCTGGTGGCGTGGTTGACCTGATACCAGCAGGGAGCATGTCCGCAGATGGCGAGCGGCTGGTGGCGCCAGGCAGGGCCTCGTCAGGTAACCGCTGTCCCCTCCCACTTTCCAGGGCCATTTATGCCTGAGTTTGGGGAGCTGGGGACAGCGGCTGCGTGTCTGTTCCCAGACAAGATGGCGCTATGTCCATGCTGAAAGGGCCTTGAACAGTGTCTTGTGTCCACCACCTGTGTTTCACTCTAAGATGGTGCCATCAGCAGCTTAATGAATTGTACCTTCTCTGCAGAAGGGCTCTGCTGGCCTTGAAGGGTGGAAAAGGGGCAGGGAATTAGCAAATTTCTTTCCTGCACAAACAAGATGGAGTCTGGGAACCTTCTTGGGGGCCTTCTGGGCTGTGCCCCATACACTGCTCATTCCAAAATGGAAATTACGGGGAGAACTTCCTCCTCTTTTTGTGGTTATGAGTATTTAGGGAGGGTGAAGAATTAAGAGACCCGAGTTGGAACGAGGATGTCCATCAGGGACCGTGTTTATTCCAGTTTCAGGAGGGAAACATGTAGTCAAGGGCATTGTTAGAGAATTTCCTTGGCTACAAGGCTTACATTTTAATGAGGATTGCGTTAGAAAATATACATCCAATCCGAGTTGGCAAGATGGGAATAAGAGTTGCTGGGCAGTCTTGCTGTGGGCGAGGGCAGCTTTGTGTTGCTGCAGTAGCGCTTTCGTTCCGAAGCACTTGGGTTGTGGCAGGCTGTGGTCTACGGTGGGAGCCCTCGCTTTATGTAAGTTCAGAGGCCATTTGAGTTCTCTCTGACCCTAAGCCAGCATTGTGGCCATGCAGAGACAAGTGTAAGGGCAAACCTGATGCGGGCAAGGGGAGGATTAGACCTCAGGCGGAGTGTGGTTGAAAGCTGATGCTCAAACCAAGACCTAGGGGACTGGCCTGAGTGTGTCCTTTTCTGACTTAAATTAAGGTTGGGGGCCCTGCTATTGTTTGGAGGCCACCTGTGGCTTTGACTCTGGTTGCAAAAGGTCAAGCCCCTGTCCAATCCTGTAACCCTTTCTTAATCTTCAGTTATGTAGGTACCCAGCCAAGGTCCCCTCCCAGTTCTGTAGTCCCGCCGCTGACAGTGATCTACCACCAATCATGATTTTGTGAGGATTCCTTTTGTTGTCAATCATATATAATTAGCCCCATAGCCCTGACTCAGCCGACTCCCTTCAGCTTTCTGTATTGCGTACATGCTCACGATTTCCCTTCTCCTGGATGACTGTGTTCGTTTTGTCTTTGTCGTAAGTCTTAATAATTGAACTGCTACCCAGAAGGTTGGTGGTTCAAATCCACCAGCCACTCTGTGAAAGATACGATGGGGCCATCTACTTCCGTAAAGATTTATCACTTCAGAAACCCAATGAGGGTCGCTGTGGGTCAGAATCGACTTGATGACAGTGAGTTTATTTTTTGGTTTAAGGCTTAATAAGCTTATCTCTGTTGAACTTATTTGAGTTGAGGATCTCATCCCCTGTTAGAGAGCTCACACCCCCAGTGTGTGTGTCTGCTGGGTTGCATGCTGCAGTTTGGACCACAGTGTTTGCTACCAAGGAGCCACACTTGGTAAAAGGTGAAAGGCTTTCTGGGGCACAAAACATGCATATTCCCAATGTCGGACCTAAACAGTGTGTTTATGGTGAGTGAAATGTGTCTGAGTGTGTGGGGTGTATTTTTGGTGAATGGAATGTGTGTGAAAAAGTGAGGTTATGTGTTGTGGTGTGTGTGCTTGACAATGAGAGTCTGTCTAGAAGTTCCTCAGAAGAAAAACATCTATCTGTTGTTTGGCTGGAAGCCAGAGGAGTGAGTTCAATTGCAGACCTGAATTTTAGCTAGGGGCCATAGTCTCAGGGGTGTTACTAAGCTCTATCAGACCAGCAAACCTGGTCTCTTTTTTTTATGATTTTGAGTTTTGTTCTTCATTGTTCTTCCATTCTACCCAGGATTTCCAACGTAGATTCCACTATGAGTGGTTGAGCGTGGTAGCTGGGCACCATCGAGTTCTTCTGTTCTCATGGTCATATAGGCTGAGGACCACGTGGTGTACCAGTTGCTTGGACTAATTGCTTCCATGTGTCTGTGGTTTTCTTCATTCTTCTTTGCACTGGAAGAGGAGACGCCCATCATTGCATCTAGATAGACGCTTGCAAGCTTTTAAGACCTCAGTTACTACTCACCAGGAGGTGGTCTGTTTGTCTGGAGAACCACTATTTATTTCGTACCTCAAGGTCCAATGCCAACAATTCCCCACGTGGAGATTCTCTTGTTTGAGGAGACCCACATGCCTGTCTCATCCCTGCCCTAGCAGGCAGTGTCTTTTCCTTTTGATTAGTGTCTTCCTGGCCTAGGCAAGGGGAGTGTGCCTCTCGTCTTTGCATCTTCCACAAGGTCTGTTTTCAAAATCAGTAAATGAAAACTGCAGGACCATGTCGTGGCATGTTTGGGAATGCCAGTTTTCTGGTTACCTAGTGCCGCTCTGACCGGAATATACCACAAATGGGATGGCCTTAAAAAAAAGGAGTTTATTCTTACAGTTTGGAGGCTTGAAGTCCAAGTTCAAAGTACCAGGCTCTAGGGGCTGGGTGAAAGCCCCTCAACCTTGGGGTCCAGCTCTGCCTCCTGCTCCCCGCCCACTGGAGCTAGAGGCATGTCTTCATTCAGACAGCTGCTGGCTGCTGAGGCTGAGAAGCCCCAAGGTTGACAAGTAAAAAGGCACAGTCCCAATGTTACCAAACCACACGGCAGGCCATTAACTTAAGTCCGTTGTCTCAAGGTTGGCAGAGCATGGCAGGCTGCTGAGCAACAACACAGCTACATGCAGAGTCCAAGTGTGCCATAGGCTAGAGACCATTCCCAAGGCTTCTCCTTAAATATAGGAAACAGACCACATCCCAAAGGCAGCTACTCAGCTGTTTGTGGTAGATCCCACCATGGAGTCGATTGCCAGTCTCATCATGGGGAATAACTCCCACCAGCTGCCCAGGCACTCAACTGGGTCCAGCCAAGTTGACACACAAACCAAAAAAAAAAAACCCACCTTAGCCAGGCATTCCCCACCTCTGCTAATGGAAGCTCAGTGGACTTGAGCTACTTCCAGGAGATTCTGAGAGTGGAATCTCTCATTCTGTTCCTTTGAACCATTCATTGCCTGCTGCTTCCATTGGGGGGAGTCGGAGACTGAAGGGGCCCCTCACTGAAAACTTCACAACTTTCACAGACTATCAGACCTGATTAAAGGAGACGTTAATCATAGTGACTGACTTGCTACTTTTCCCTTTCTTTTGCTCTCTCTCAAGTAAACAGAATGGCCAACCTCTTTACAGACACTGAGTTATTTAGATTTGCTATTTTCCAATATGTATTCTGCTAAGCATAAACCCTCTCCCACAACTGGTTATGGCTGAGAACCGTAGCCTCTGAAGCAAGATAACTCTGGGAAGAGGGACATTGAGTTTGGAGTAAGCAGGGAAGAGAAGAAAGGCATTCCTGGCCATCCAATGTCCCCTAGAATACTGTTCACTCCTTTGTTCAGAGAGACAGACATTTTAGAGAGGAGATTCACTCTGTCTCCTTGGAGATTCGTAGTCAATAAACCTTTTGCTTTCCTGCTTCACCCTGTTGTGATCATTGACTTTTCACAACGGGGTAAGGACCTTCTTTGCCTACAACACCAAGATGTAATTGTTTGGCCCCTTCGCTACTGACTGTCTCTGGTGCTGTGGAGTGGGCTGTGTCTCATGGCAACCCCATGTGCAGCAGAACCAACCTCTGACTGCCCTGCACCATCTTCAAGATCATTGTTGTGGCCACAGTGCCTCCAGCCTAACGCATTCATCTTGCAGCACGATGTTGGATGATGGTCTTTTGTGATCCATAGAGTTTTCTTTCTCTAATGTGTTCAAAAGACATGTACTGAGTCTCTGCTCTTCTCTCATATATAATTCTTCGACGTGAATTATATTTTTCTAATCATGCAACCATTCCAACTATCCTTTTGCAAAGTCTTCCATCAGGAACATAATCTCAGTGCCTTCTAAGGAGAAAGTCCCTCCTTCTTTCTCCATCGCATCTTTGGTAATCTTTTGTTTCTACATATGTGCTTATTCCTCTGTTATAGGATAAATTCTGTCCCCCAGAAATTTGTATCGTCAATCCCAACCTCCTTTCCCGGGATTATAATCTCATTTGGGAATGAATTGTCTTATATTAATGACAGGATTATTGTAGGATGTGTTTGGAGTTAATCTCCTTTGAGACATCTGCCAAGCCACCTGGTGATTTCCCAGGAACCAGAGAGCTGAAACTGAAGAGATGAGACCTTCCTCCAGAGCAGACAGGTAGAGAAAGCTTGCTCCTAGAACCAATACCCTGTATTTGGACTTCTAGTCTCCTAAACTGTGACAAAATAAATTTCTGTTTGTTCAGTCCACCCACATGTGGTATTTATGTTACACATCACTTGAGAGATAAGTAAGATAAACCACATCCATCATCCGGACCTTACTGACATTTATTTTATTTATTTATTTATTTAATTTTATTTTGATTTGGGTGAAGATTTACAGAGTAAATTCACTTTTCATACAGCAGTTCACATATACTT